TAAGGAAAAATTAAAAGTTAATTAACTATTTTTCTACTCAGTCATAAAAAATCCAAAACATCCCTATAACGAAAACCATTACTCCAAATTCTACTACAACGCGTGTGTGCACCAAACAGCTTCAAACTCGATTTTCTTCTCAACGAAGTCCCGCACGCAAAAACGATATTCCGCATTTTCAATGTATTTTTACACGTAAAATCGACTTCCATACGGGTATATAGCCCATCGAGGGACGTTCTGCACGCTAAAAGCTTTCGTTCGAAAAAGAGACGAGTTTAACAATACATTAAAAGTGTACGCGTTAACGCTCCTCGCGCCAAAAAGGAAAAAGAGGGAATTTTGCAGGAATGTCAACGATCTTCCGGCGCATTAAAAGGTTTCGCCTCGGTCGAAACGGTCGGCCTTCATCTACATTAAAAGATACCGCGTCACGAATCAGACCTTTCCCCGATTTTCGAGATGACAGCTACATCTAAAACGCGACTCGCTGTGGGAATCATGTTCCATTGCATAAGACTGGAGTCGGCACCGTACAGCCCGCGAGCTGTTTTTAGATGACCTGCCAATCATTCTGGTTACACATCGTCGCGGTGTTGATGGAAAATTGGAAATCTTACACCGTCCTGTTTGTTAAATTTTCTTCCCACTTACTGTTTTGGCTATTCATCAAAGTCTATTCGAAGAACAAAAACAAATGTCATCGAACATCTAGATAAAAATTTGTATATTTTCTGTTGTTTAAATAGAAAGATATTATGAATAAAAATACATCTCCTAGTGTACAAGAATTATTCTCAGACAAATTTATCGAACATATTCGTAATAAAAATAATATGAAAAAGAAAGGTTCTCAAAGATCATTTGTCATCTGAGGTGAATAAAACTACAGGGAAATATTTTTTTTTCAGTGACTTTTTAATAATCTGCGAACGAAAGGGTTAACATATCGCACTTGCATAACGAAAGCGGCGTTCACCGGCGACGACATGCGCCATATGTGTTTGAACACGACGCCGAGTCGCGCTTGCACAGGCGTTCGCCCAGCGTGTATCCCGCGTTAAGTATAGCAATCACCGGCCAGATAACGCCTGTATCCTTGACTCTAAGCGCGAATGTACCGCTGCGTGAGCCTCCGGAGCCGTGTGTGAATGTCATCGGGCCGCGAGTGTACGCATGGATTTCGCGAGAACCGGAACACTTGCAATCATCGATAAAATCGTGACGCATGCATACGGACCTCAATTACATTTTTTACTAGTTTGTTCTGTTTAATGATCGATTTTCACAAAAATTATAATTACAGAACAATTGTTAAACTGGACACTCGAGTCCCAACCTCTTTGATACCGAATCATTTTTATTTACTCAGTCGGCCTGACTACTTCATTGTAGACTAATGGAAATAACAATGGTTCATTAAAACGGACCTGGTTTATTAGTTATAGTACATTTTGCGTTAGAACAATCTTTTTCATATATTATATAGACTTGTTATTTTAAATGGAAATGAATTTTAACTGGAAAACTCTTTTTAAACGTTATTGTTGATCAGTAGTAATATGCATTATTACTACCACTATGAAAGTCTCGAAGATTTGAAACATGAATGAACAAGTATAAAATAAGATCTGTGTAACTGCCCAAAGGATCGAAGGTTTCAATCAATCTAAAGCAAAGGGATCACTACTGAATATGAAACTATATTGATTATTGATGCTTCTTTTTTGTTGTTTTTTTTTTATGTACAGTATGCATTAGTATTTGTTAGTAAATGATTATGTGCGTGTTCAGAGTGTTTATCGCTTGAATTTTGAGTAGCGTTTCGGGAAATCTATCCTATTGTGCGCAGCATGAAAACGTAATGCAACCAGAGCTCTGTTAAATAGGATGAGGCAACGTTGATGAAACCGGCGGAGGAAATGTCACGGATGTGTATGGCAGGGTGATGTTTTTGGAACTGTCTCGAGAACGTAACGAAAGTTAATGTTAGTCGGTTCGTCATACTTATTCAGTGACTACTCGATGGTAAATTTTAGTCTGTGACTTGGTAAAAGGAAAATATTGATAGTGAAGTCATCGATGGGAACGTTATAACCTGATTAAAAAGAACAAACTTTAAATGTATGCGACAGTTTAGATAAAGAAGGAAATCGAGGATCCTGGTAACGTGTTTATGGTATGCGTGGCTGTACACAAAGCCGTGTCTAAATAATTTTTTTAACACGACGCCCTTTTTTAGTATTTGTCAGTGATAAACTAATTTTATGAAATTGGTTATTAACAAGAAAATTGATACTAGAACTTGTACTAATGTCTAGTAGTTGACACTGTGAAATTTGTACGAATAGAGCCTTGGGATACAGCACGACGAGCTAGCATGATTAGCATATCACCTTGGAACGAGGGTTATCTACAAGAAGTTCCTTTTCGAGAAGACGACTGAAGGTGGTGAATAATGGCCGCGAGGATCTAGAAAAATATACTACATAATCCACGAGGACGGTCGTAAGACGATCACTGAGTGAACATTCTTGTATGAACGATACGTGTTATCGTATAATACAATTCCAGTAGTTTCGAACAAATTATGTAATTAATATAAAGGAATTAATATTATATTTTAATCCTTGAAATCGTATGTTCTCAGAATTTTGTATAATAAAAGACAACAGGAAAATAAAAAAAATCATTTCTTAATTTTTACAATTGCAAGTATTCTGGTATTTGGTATAGTAAAGCAATTTATTACTGTAAAAATCAGTCATAGTAACGTGATTATCTACATCCTCAGTAAGTTATTCAGTAATAACCATTGAAAGGAATTTGAATGGAATTTAATTAAACGTTTCTTATACAGCAGCATTAGAATCCATAGATATATTTTAAAAACAATGTTGCTAAGACCAAGAAAAGTTCTACTGTAATTTTAATTTGAAATTATACTTCGTATCGTAGAAATAATAACAAATTCTAACGCACGTGTACGAGTATCTGTCTGGGAAATATTTAATATTAGATTGAAATTTTTATGTTTACATTGTTGAAAGGAGAAGTGTATCTATTCTTGAAACTGAGAAAGCGTTGTTAAGTATAGTACGAGAACATTGATGAAATCACTGTAGGAAATGTCACGGTTTGTATATAAAGGGTGGTGTTTCTGAAAGTATATGACGGCTCGCATTGAGGACGTAACAAAGGTTGATGTTAGCGAATTCATGACATTTATGCTTATGATGTAATTTAGAGTTATTTAGTGTAGATGCTGGATGGTTACTCTCAGTTTGTGAAATAAGGAAATGCTATTCCCAGCGAGTCGGTATATTTAAGTCTCCTATTATTCATTATCAGTTTCATGAGTTACTCAAAACAGTTATTGCAAACGAAACCCGCGCATTTGCAAACGTTTCATAAGCTTCGTAATTTTTTACACGTAATCGCTTTCAAAATATTAGCAACGTGGAATTTTGTTATTATATAAGAGATAGATCAGTAGCCGATGTGCGTAAACGCGTGTAAATTAGATATGAAATTGATTAAATATCGTGTAAAATGATACTCTGATCGATGTTCTTTTTTATTTTCAGGTAAATATTAAATAGACAAAACGTTAACAATTATATGTAGTGTCTCTATAAATATCTAACATAGCAAAAACAGCGATAAGCAAGAAATAAGAAAGAAAGAAAGAATTTTGTACCATCTTGTAAATTAGATATTAATTAATTTCACGCATCCAAAACTATCGTAGACTAGTTAGATGATCTAGTGCTACAATTGCATAGAACAAAAGTTGCACACGAATCAAGTGTCGTCGAAGCGTATGATCAACTTTAAATTCCATCGAGTTCATCGTGAATGTTACCATTACAAAACATAACGTTCGAGTACGGTGCAATGCATCCTGAATGCATTCATTATCCTCGCGATATTTATATACTTATTACAAGCGGTAACAAGCTCTCATTGAAGTCCATAAAAACAATTCGTAATGGACTTTGTATTTCAAGAATATAAATCATCGGGTAAAAATGATTTTTATGAATACAATTTTAAGAAATTATCGTTTCAATGTCCGTAGAGAAGCATTAACGTAACGCAATATTTGGAACTAGTACGCGGAGAAACACTTTCAAGGGTGAAACACGTGACATCGCGATATAAATATGTCTTATCCGATGAACATTTCTAATCAATTTTAATTCAAAGGAGTGCTAGCTTGGAACTTCATTTACGAATAATTATGTCCCGTGGAAAGAATTCTATCAGGCTGTTGCATAGGAAATGCAACTAATAACTAGAAGTTGTTGCTAAATGCCATTTATCCTTTATCGATTTAGAGCTGAAGACGACATGATATGTATTTCATAGAACACTTATTTTACGTTGATTAAGGGGTACTGAATATACTGGATTATACTTTGAAAAAAAATAACAAACTTGCAAAATTGTTGGTATATTCTATTTAAAAAAAAATAATTTCTATTGGAATGACAATACAATTTTAAGAAAATGAGATATACGAATAGTTTAAAATATCAAAGGAAGTGTGATATAATTGTATCAGGGCTTAAGCTTGTTAACAATATAATTTGCCTGCCCCTGATCCTTCAACGTCTCGTTTCCTCGTTCAAATTCGTATCCGAAGAAACAAAATAAATATCTCAGAAGAAACGTAAATTCCTTCCTGTCCAAGCCGAGTTATTTCTTGAAAATAGCCGAAATTTATGACGAGGAACCCGGTGCAAAGCTTCCTCGTTCGAAAGAAATTATTAGCGCGCGATCGATTATCGACAACAAAGTCGCTAGATCTCAAACGCACGTCTCTTCTTATAAAGGCCCTCGCGTAAAAAGTGAAAGTGCCACGTTTCGCGGTGGATCGTTTTATCAAACCTATTGCAACGATGCGCACAAACCGATGGAAACACACACGCGCTCCACACACACACATACACACACACACACGCCGTAGGTACAACGACGTGAAAATCGTTACTCACCAGCAGGAAAAATACCGTGCTCGTGGCGGTCGCTTCGAACGATATTCCGCACGCCATTTCTCGCGATCGAACCACCAGGCTCCTCCTCTACCAGACCATCCTGAGACTTGTCAGCGAGGCATGCGGCTCCTGGCTTCGTCGAGCTTCCCCGCGATTAATCTCGAATCACTTTTCCACCACAAAAACCACCACGTTGTTCGAGCCGGCCTCTCCCTCTTCCTCGCGTACGATCAAAACGCAATTTCAAGATTCTCCGGGCGCGTTGCTCGGGATCATTAAAAATCCCCAGTCGATCACCGGTGGACGATTTACAAGCTGGCGGTGCGTTTCAGGCCGAGATCGATCGCGAGCCAGCTACGAACAAATGCTCGACCACTGTTCCTCTCTCTCTCTCTCTATCTCTCTCTCTCTCTCTCTGTCTCTGACCACTGTTCGATCTGGCGTATCACCTTCTATAGATCGACTCGCGGCAGCCGGATACCGTGAATCAATGTTCTCCTCGATCGTAATCTACGTGTCCCGTTTCGTATCGCCTGGCTTCGGTCAAAGACGCGGCACCCAGCGAGGACTAGACGACGCGGACGAAAGCCCAAGTCGTTCGAGGACGATCCCGCGAGCTTCTCTCCTCGTCGTTAAAAGGTGACGATTGGCACGGTCCTAACCGTAGCACAGGGCTCGGGCAACTGACAGCGGGTCAGAGCCGCGGCACACGGCGCCACGCCGCTCTCACAGCTGATCCGAGAGAGCCGATCGCCTCTACTCGCCTCTCTACCCTCTCTCTAACACGCGATTCTCAACCTCCGCCACCATGTGCTCCCTACGATTTACCTTGGCTAACCGGAACGTCAAGACACCAGGCTGACGAATCGAGTTACCCCGATCCTCCGCCCCCACCGTCTCTCATTGCTGCAACGTGCGTACGTGCCAACCGCGAACGACCTCGCACGATCCTCCGAAACCCCCAAAAACTCATCAAAATTCTATTTTTTCAAGTTACTTACGAATTAGAAGAAAAGTTAGCAAGAAGAACTCATTGCAAAACTGTTGAGTCATGGATTCGGTTTGACACTCGACTACCAAACTGAGATTTGTCTTTTGGCACTTAATTTAGTTTCTTTGACATCTCAACTTGAGAATTAAATTTTATTCCATAGTGAGAAGTCTTACCATCTATATACCTATGGCTGACCTAGTCAAAGTGTAGATTTTTATCAATTTAACCCCCATGTTTAAGATGTGGCTTTAGCACTTGTGAATTTTATTTTATTTTCTTTGCCATCTCGACTTGGGAATTAAATTTAATTCCATAGTGCAAAATTTTACCACCTAGGCTGACCTAGTCAAAGGATTAATTTTTAACCCCCATGTTAAAGATTTGCCTTTTAAGACCTACAGAATCCTATCCAAAATTTTCTTTAACGTCTCAACTTGAGAATTAATTTCTCTATTCCATAGTGTCAAATCCTATCATACACATATGGATGACCCGGTTAAAGGTCACCTATCCCCTTCCAGGTATCCTCGAATTATTTTTAACGTGTCATTTGTTCCGTATTCAGCGAAAAGTCGACGCGTTAACAACCCTCCTCACGGCTGTAGCAATTAATTTTCTCCGAATATAAATTTGTAGCCCGAAGATTAAATTCTGAGGTCCAAAGAAATCCTCGAGCTGCTGTTTTTCTGACCGAAGATGCTCGATTGTTAGCGTGACGATTTTTTGTCGCGTTTCTCGAGATTCTTACCACTGGCAGTCGTTGATCTACCGAGGACCGTGAGATTAGGGATTTTCTGAGGGATTTTCGATTCTCCGGCAACTTCCTTTCTTCCAGCTCCTTTTTTGCTTCGCTTTGACCGGCCAGGTGAACGGGCAGGTAACTCGTGGATAGTGAAGTGTAAAGGAAATGAAGTGAGGCGTGAGAACGGCTAAATCGATGCACAACCTTGTCGAGAACACTGTTTAGTCCACTGAATTGTTTGTTCGATGTTTCAATAGAAACTTCTTTATTCTGAACTCGACAGATAGTGCTCCTTTTTGTATTTGTATTCTATTTAAAAATGTTCCAATGCCTGGTACTACGAATTATTGAAAGAAGACAAAATATTTACTTATTCTTGAAGAGGTAGATCATTTTTTTAAATCTGAGATGGAAATTATTTTAAGTGCTAAATATTTTTTCTACTGGGCACCAATTTTTGAAAACTAAAACTACTAGCAATGCACACAAATTGTAAACCGATACATTATTGTTAATTAAATACGAAATTCCAGCCGAACAATATTATATAAACCGTCGAAAGTAAGTTTGCGTCACCTCTGGAATTTAATAGCGTTAAAAGTTCGCGTTTAAAGAGTACTTACATTCGGAACATCGTGTTCTCTATACGTGTTCCGAATACACAAATCCAGAGTGGAGGAGTTTTACCGAAAAGAATGGAGTTTAAACTAACACCAAACAAATTCCAGCGAAAGGAAAATTAAACTATCGAGGATCGGAGTAACTCGTAATATTTGATTCGTTCGCTTATATTAATATCAACGAGTCTAGTAAAATCTGACAACGCAATCGCAAATGACATAAATTTTTGCCAATTTTCTTTACGAGTTTCCACTTCTTGTAAACTTGCACGGTCATAGATACAGTTACAGCATGGCGAGACACAAGAAACGAAACCAGAAACACTATACCAGGGTCAACGACATCCCCATGCAGGCGATTAAAACTTCTTTCCAATACCGTAGGAAATTTTCTTCTAGCGTTATACCTTCCGGTCACTCCTTTAACAACAAATCAAGCGTAGTAACGACCTGATAGCCATCGGTGTATTTTTTCCGGGGCACTAGTTCACCTCGTTTGTGCGCTAATGTTATGGCCGTGATATTCAAGTCGAAGTTTTTGTTGCAATACAATAGCGTGAAGAGAAAGTATTGTGAAACACGCATTACATTTTACACCGTGGCGTTAACCATAACGATTAAACGGACGTTAATGACGTCAAATTATCGTGTCTTAATCGGACACGACGAGAAGAAAAATGTGACATTGATGAATTGCCGTGTATCTTTTTCCTTTTCTATCGACTCGGGAATAACGTAGCACGTACAACCCTTAACCGTTCGAGTGCTTTATATATAGTGTGTCTCGGTAATCATACCGTCAACAGATAGATAAATTCTCGCGCAAAAACGAGCTGAAAATGCAGAATAAAATTTGATATGCATTTGTTTGTTGCACGCGAATAATTGCTTGGAGCCTGGATAAAAATTCCAATCATGGAATATTCTATTTATTCGACTGAAAATGAGAATGAAAATGGAGGTGCCAGAGGTGCAAAAAGTAGAACGAGCCAATGACATTGAACCGTTGTAAAACGATCGAAGGCTACGAACTTTTCACTGAACGTCGTAAGCATGATCCACCGGCGCGAGGTCACGGACGTGAGTAGCAATAATTAATACCGTAAGAATCGTTCATAAATATTAATTGCATCTGCCAGATTCTAATATATTCCGGGGTGATTTCGCGATTTTGCAAAAAGATCGTTAATTAGACCGATGATCGGTCGTTATCGCGAATCGAAGGTCACGAGCAAACTGCCCCGTCTTCTGGAAATACCGCCCACGTGCCCTTAATGCCCGTCTTTTCGTAGTACCTTTCAAGATCCCGTGACGTTGTACGAGTAAATTGCCCGTGAACCGATTAACAAAGTTTTCGGATGCTCTTGTTCGCCTTTTTGTGGTGTACATGTCTTCATTACGGCCGATCGAGGGCAATAAATTGCACTGTATACATTATATGTACAGAATGCACTTCTGGATATGCACACTATCTGCACATTAATGAACCAGTCCTTACAGAGATCTTCTTTCGGATAATGTAAGAATGATAAGCGACTGATTGGAAATGCTTTATTAAAAGACCTTATTACAGGTTAATAAGGTCGGGTTATTATCAGAAAGGTACGTTAAATTATCGTATTCCGAGCTGCATGTCCGATACAGAGATTGGCATACTAATACGTGTAGAATATATTATTTGTAAAATATTAATTTCTATTACACACTTTCTAACACTGCAAATCCTTCTTCCTGTTTGAGGCAACAATTTTGTCTAAATGTACTCCTATTTTAAAGTATTCAATATTTTCGATTCTTTTCAATGTGGCACAGGCTATCACTATTTTTGGATTAGCAACAAAATTAGTAATTCTTAGTATACGATTTTTGTATCGATATAGCAACAGAATCGCAAAGAAGTTTATTTATAAACCAAGAGTATCTAAATGTCTCATATCAGACACATAATTCTCCAAGAAATCATAAAACTGCAAAGACGATTTCCGAATTTTATCGTACGAAGCGCTCATTGAAGGTCGACCAAAAACGCTTTCGCACAGAGTTCAGTCTCTTCGATCGTGACCCAAGCTTTTATTACGCGCATAAATTCGTTCCCCGTAAAAGAAAAAACTCAAAAATAAACTTAAAATCGTAACAACTGCGACAGATAAAATAAACTTGAACGATGCATCACGCGTCCTCCTTCGAACGGTATCGTGTTCGTCTTTAACAACATTTTCAAATCAATAAAGTCGTTGTTTATGGGTCTCTTCGCGCTCTGTCGACGATTTCGCGTGACGCAATAAAGGATCATAAACCCCGACGAGAATGATTTCGTGTCATAAAACTACATTCATGCTAAGTTCATAAAAAAGCTTGAATTTGCACATCGCCGAAGAATCGACGATTAGTAACCAACGTGAAGTGTGCGGAGCAGTGATTTCCAAACTTTTCGAAAACCACACCCCCCAAATACGAAACAAAATTCCTGCACGATTCGTGCCATGTTACAAAAATCCAAGTAGAATTTTCTTAAACCGAAAATTAGGAATATGCAAGATAAATATTATTATAAGTTTGAACTTATTTTCCAGTTACTTCAAGGATCCATTATACCTAAAATGGTTTACACCTTGTAATCAAGGTGTCGAAAGAATTGAATTAATTCTGCTGTTTTGTATGCTCGAATAATATACCTCCCAGGCAACGTTTAAATTATCCACGTTGTCTTGTATTGAAAATATTCACTGGCGTCTCCCGTAGAACGAAAGATAAATGACCCTTTTTTTGTAACTCTCATGGTGGATTGCACGATCAGAGCGTCTAGCAATCGCCCGAAACGAGCCACGGAACCGTTCTGGTATTTCTCCGGGTGTTACGATAGACGGGCGTCGATGACTATTGGGGAATACAAAGCAATTTAATGAAATCCTTGTGCAATAAGCGCGGATGAATAACCGACCTTGCGTAAAAGCGGTACGACCTTCGTCAAGTTAAGAACGCAAGGATCCTGCCAGTTTTTCACGTCACGACGGGCCGTGTCTCCGGCTCGAATTTGTCCGCTTCCAGGCATCGAAATCTCCGGGAATGGCGGACGGGCGCGAGGCTCGGAATTTACGCCCAGAGATTTTATTTCCCTGTTACCAGAATCCAACTTCTATTAATAATATCTATCCCCACGACGCGGACGTTCTACGGAAATATAACGGTGTTCCTACGAGGCCCGCATCCCGTTCGAAAGCCGTAGGTGGACGGAAACGCGCGTCAATGGCGTGTTTATCGATCTATTACGATCCCATTATTTCGGACGATGAGACATGGAACCGGGAATTCCGAATAATTCAAAGTTACATGATAATTGATTCGAATTTGGCTAGGTAATCTATGTCTGAATTAAACCCTTGTAATTTTTTAAAAGAACAGACTCGTTTCACCAGCATTTCGCGACTGCAATATCGCGTTGATTTTGATGTATTAGACTTCATCGCGTGGCTGGTTGCGAAACACGGCGCAAAGAAGTAATAACTCTGGAGTTAACGCTCTACTTTCGCGCGAAGTTTTTGTTTGTTTTAACGTGGTATTCGAAGAAAAAATCGAACGGTGCTAGATAAATCGCGTACGGATAAATTGTATCCGTAACGCAACCCGCGGCGATGCTTGTTTCTTCCTCCACGCGTCACGCGGATTTTTCCCCTCCCGTTGCGTTCGTTTCTTTTTCAGGCAGAAGTGCATCGAAGCCCCCTTCGATCGCGGCGTTAAATTTTCCCTTTATCTGCATTACTCGGATGCCTGGCTCCGGCGTCTCTCCTTCGGTCGGCGCATTTACTCGCGCTGCCGCTCGCTGGAATTCCGTCGACCGCGCGAACACGTCGGCTTATATTGGAGGTCAGCCGCGACCTAGGCATATCTGGCTGCATTGTTCCACCAGCCGCGGCATTGTTTCGTCGCCGGTCAAGGGGTCAGCACGCGAACGTCCGAACCCGCCTGGGATACGTATCTTCTGGGGAATAACCGAAGGATCTGTGCGAGCTGCGTCCTTAAAAAAAAAACAAAAAGAAAATATCGTACCACCCTCCCCTCTGTATTAAGGATAACATCGGTGACTTTTGTCCACCGCCGGGTCCGTGCACTTTCCGATATAATGAATGCATTACGCCGCGCTATCAGCCAGCAATAAATCGTGGTCGGCGCGCGGACGAAGGCACCGACACGCCGCGTCGCGAATATTACAGCCGCGTTGCTGTGTATCGGAGATAAACGTTTGACGAAGGACGCGACTCCGCCGTGGGCGTTTGCTGCCTTTTTCGCCGGCCCCCTTTTTCCCCTCCATTTTTCATTTATCGCGAGTATTAATCTGTCGCGCGGATAATCTCTTGATCGAATCGGCTTAATCTCCGCGAGAGCGCGATCCTTCCCGGCAGGATCAATGGAAACTGATTCGAGAGGACGTTAGGGAAGCGTAAGGTTAATTAACGTTAGGATAACTTGGCGGGTGCACGAGTCGTTGCATCGTTAATTTGTGTGATTTATTATTCACTTTTATTACAGCGATTCTGATCCAAATGTCTTTTACGTAGCAGTCGACAATCAAATTGAGACCAAACAACCCTAAAGCTGTGCTAGTTTAGCAAAGTAGTAATATCATTCCAGTGAACGAAATTTATTGGTCGTATACATATATAGGCGTTTAAAGGGTTAGTGAACGATTTGGTCAAGTTCTCGATTTTCTTAAAAATAGTTATTGGTGAGACCCCTGCGTTTGGTATTGATACTTCATTAGATAAGTTAGTCGTAACATATGAGTAGACTGCATATTCGTATAGGTAATAGTTGAAGTTATAATCGTTTTGCCATTAGAAGATTTTAAAAATAAAGTTTCTTCTCATTTCTTTAGGTACCTTCCACGGATCGAATGGAAGAATAATTTCGAATGAAATGAATATCGTCCAGCCTCGATATCAAGGTAACCGAAGAAAAATCTGTTATTATTTATACCGGGGCAACAACAATTCGTGGCATTTTACGTATGCAACTTCCGTGGTAGATCCGACCCAACGTGTAGCGAAGTACATCCAATTAAATAAGCAGTTCAGTTCATAAATTAAGGCGCGACTAACTCTTCAGATACCGAAACATTTCCCCCGGCACGTTAATCACAATTGGATCGTTAATAATCAAAGACAAAAATTTATATATACACGAGGGCTCCGCGTTCGGTCTCTTTGCTCGAGCGTGCGGTGCGCTCTTTTCTTTCAGGGTTTTCTTTCTCTTCCCGATTCTTGCAACTGTCCCATAAAACATCGATATGACATTAAATTATTCCTCAAGCTCGATTCCATTCGTTCTTTTCTTTTTTTCTGTATACGTATATTCGGTGTCGTAAAAACTGGCTTTCAATCTTAGCGCATTCCTGTTAATCGCGCGCACGTTGTAATTACATTCCTGCGCGATCGTCGTAAGTTACTGTATCGCCCGAATCGCATTCATCAGACAGGAAATACGCGAGGCTTTAAAAAGGAGGCTAAGACTTTAGGGACTTATAGTACTCGCCAGACGGAGGAAAACATCTTTACGAACAGAAATTGAACATGTACGTCTCTACTCATCCAGTCGAGAAAACAAGAATTTGACAGAATAGAATGCAATCGTAAGTTCTGAAAAAGAAAAACGATTGGAAAACTTCGTATCTAGTGTGTCTGAATTTGTATGTGCTTAATGCGAACAATGTCATCGGAAATATGAGAAACAAGAATATAGTTTGAAACGGAGTCATTAAAATATATTCGCGATGGCTTCAATATATGTATACTGGAGAGTTAAGCTACTTCGTTAACATTCTTTTCCCACGGTCTGGTTTTAATACATCACGGTTGTTATCATTTTTTTTTCTTTTTCGAGCGTTTGTTATCTTACTATCAATTAACATTCTGATTTACAAACTTTATCTTACTTTTTAAAACAAAGGCTAATGAATCAAATTTAATTTGCCAAAGTGCAGTTCTATATCAGAAAAATATCTATCATCAAATTACTTGGCTCATATTTTATAAAAATATGTTACATTCTTGGAAAAACAAATTCAAATCGAAATGTATTATTTACAGTAATGTTACTATTCATATTTTTTGTATGCAATATAGAGAAATCCGGATTCCAAACGATCCTGAGGAAACAGTTTTCAATTAACTGTTCTGTCCTTCACGCGTTTAGCATGATTCATCGATATAAGTGATCCATAGAATCATCGTTTCGTCACACTCGAAAATCACGTTCGTCACGAAAGTGCTATTAAAACATCTTACTCCAATTGTTATATTCACTCTACAGGTTGTTACAATATTATTATTTTAACGGTAAAATGTAAGAATTGAACATCGATGTAAAATGAAATTTTTGAGTGGCTTCCCTCACTAATTGT